GGCTCACCGCAACCTCCACCTCCTGGGTTCAGGCAATTCTCCTGCCTCAGCCTCCTGAGTCGCTGGGATTACAGGCACGCGCCACCATGCCCAGCTAATTTTTTTTTGTATTTTTAGTAGAGACGAGGTTTCACCATGTTGACCAGGATGGTCTCGATCTCTTGACCTCGTGATCCACCCGCCTCGGCCTCCCAAAGTGCTGGGATTACAGGCGTGAGCCACCACCCCCGGCTGAAACCCCATCTTTACTAAAAATACAAAAATTAGCAGGCCACAGTGGTGGGCGCCTGTAATCCCAGCTACTCAGGAGGCTGAGGCAGGAGAATCACTTGGATCCAGGAGGTGGAGGTTGCAGTGAGCAGAGATCACGCCACTGCACTCCAGCCTGGGTGACAGAGCAAGAAAGAAAGGAAATGGAGTTTTCCTATGTTGCTTAGGCTAGTTTTGAACTCTGGGCTCAAGCCATTCTCCCACCTTGGTCTTCCAAAGTACTGGGATTACTGGTGTCACTGTGCCTGGCCAGAGCCGTTTTGGGAGGAGCAGTCTATACTTACCCTTTTGTCTTTTTTGTTTTTTTGAGACGGAGTTTGCTCTGTCGCCCAGGCTGGAGTGCAGTGGCATGATCTTGGGTCACTGCAACCTCCACCTCCTGGGTTCAAGTGATTCTCCCGCCTCAGCCTCCCAAGTAGCTGGGATTACAGGTGCCCACCACCACCCTGGCTAATTTTTATATTTTTAGTAGAGATGGGGTTTCACCATGTTGGCCAGGCTGGTCTCAACTGCTGACCTCAGGTGATCCACCCACCTCAGCCTCCCAAAGTGCTGGTATTACCTGCATGAACCACTGTGCCTGGCCTCTTTTTTGGAGACAGGGTCTTGCTCTGTTGTTAAGCTGGATTACAGCAGTGCAGTCACTGCTGTGGCCCTGAACTCTTGGGCTCAAGTGATCCTCTTGACTCAGCCTCCCAAGTAGCTGGAACTAAAGGCATGTACCACCATGCTTGGCTAATTTTTTTTTTTTTTTTTTGTATTTTGTGTAGCGACCAGGTCTCCTTATATTGCCCAGGCTGGTCTCAAACCTCCTGGAATCGAGCAGTCTTCCCACCTTGGCCTCCCCAAAATGCTGGAATTACAGGCATGAGCCACTGAGACGCAACACTAACCTGCCTAAGGTCACCCAGCCTGTAGAGAGGTAGAGCTGTGACAATGGCCTTTATCTGAGACTCATCCTTAAGTTTTCCTCCTGTATGTGTAGAATGTAGACAAGATGACCCAAGAACACATCCTGGAGGGGACGATAGCCAGGAAAGGACTGTTCTAGGAAGACACATAAGGCATGTTCGGAAGACTCAGAAGAAAACCGAGAAAGAGCCCTGTGGCCGAGATCTACTCTGTATCCTAGTGTGTTTTATGTACTTTTAAAAGTATTTTTTCTTGCAAGACTTTGGTGGAAGTAAATTTAAAAAATACAAGTATTTTCTTACCAGTACTATAGAACTCTTAGCATTAGCTGCAAAAGAGTAAAAATCAGATTCCACAGATTTGTACTAATGTACCTTACACAGGTGATAATGGCTTTTTTTTTTTTTTTTTTTTTTTTTTTTTTTTTTTTTTTTTTTTTATTATTTTTTTTTTTTTTTTTTTTTTTTTTTTTTTTTTTTTTTTTTTTTTTTTTTTTTTTTTTTTGAGACAGAGTTTCCCTCTTGTTGCCCAGGCTGGAGTACAGTGGCACAACCTGGCTTACTGCATCCTCTGCCTCCTGGGTTCAAGTGATTCTCCTGCATCAGCCTCCCGAGTAGCTGGGATTATAAGCACCTGCCACCACGCCTGGCTAATTTTATTTTTAGTAGAGACAGGGTTTCTCCATGTTGGTCAGGCTGGTCTCAAACTCCCAACCTCAGATGATCCACCTGCCTCGGCCTCCCAAACTGCTGGGATTACAGGTGTGAGCCACTGTGCCTGGCCAATAATGGCTTTAAAACAAACAGTCCAGGCCAGGTGCAGTGGCTCACGCCTGTAATCCCAGTGCTTTGGGAGGCCGTGGTGGGTGGATTGTGAAGTCAGGAGTTCAAGACCAGCCTGGCCAACATGGTGAAACCCCGTCTCTACTAAAAATACAAAAAATTAGCCGGAGGTAGTCGCAGGCGCTCGTAATCCCAGCTACTCGGGAGGCAGAGATTGCAGTGACCAGAGACTGCACCACTGCGCTCCAGCCTGGGCAACAGAGTGAGACTCCATCTCAAAAAAAAAAAAGTCCAAACACACCAGGGGTTAAATAAGCTGCTTCTCTTTCCACTGTTTATTATTAATGTACAAAATATACAAAACCAAAAGAAAAAGAAAATACTCATCCTCAAATCCATTGTGGCTCTAACCCAAGACCCTGCACAAGACCCAACCAATCCACTGTTTTCATAGAAAACAACTGATGCCAAGGTGAAGGAGAGGACTGGGAAAGGGCAAAATCATCTTGTTGAATCCACCCAGGAAGGTGCCTGGTGGGGATTCAGAGGCGGTTGACAGGGTGAAGTAGCAGGAGGCCTCCTTCACGCTGACAAGGTTCCAGGTAGGGGCAGGGAGTGCGGTAACTCCCAAAGGCAGTGCATGTAGTGCGACTTTCAGGCCCAGCATGCTGGGCACAAGTTGATGAGAAGCTGGTCTCACTGAAGTATTTTATCAAGTCTACAGACTGGCTGTAGTTGGCAAGGGCAGACCACCACCGGCCTCACTTCTGCCAGCTAAACTTTCACTGGATGCAGATATGAGTTCACTATCATCGAACCTAGCAGACCCAGGATGCAGAATGGTTGTTCACAGAAAGTTCAAGGTCCCACTTGAGAAAGGACTCAGAATGGAGCCCATGCTGGAGGAGGAGTGGGGATGATGTGTGTTCCAGAACTCAAATCCAGCTGATTGAGCCCCCTCAGTGCAGTGGGATATACAATACCCCTTCACCATCTCCCCACCCCATGAAGAATAATGAGCTTAGCTGGGATGATTTCTTAAGTGCAGCTGATCCTGCGTCAGAGTTCTGTGTGCATGTGGGGACCCGCAATAGAAGGGTAGGGGTTTTCTCCAGGATAACCAGCTTTAGGTTCTCGGGCATTACGGGCAATACTGGAAAGGGGTTTGGGGTACAGGGCAAATCTTCTCAAAAAGTGAAGCCAACTGGGTCTCCTCTTCAGCAGTCCAGGGTACAGAACGTTACCAGTCTCTCTCCTCCCCAGACCGGAGGAAAATATGTACATCAATGCGCACCAGTGATCAGAAAACCCCCAAGAACCCAAGCAAGTGGGAACTGAGGGGGCCGGCTCCTCATCAGCTGGGGAAAGGGGAAAATGGGCCTCACAGAAGCCATAACAGGGTGGAAGGAGCGAGGCTGCAGTCCACAGGGGTGGTGTGAACAGGGCAGGCATATGGTCCCTAGGGCAGGGGGGGGCCATTAACACCCGGGTGGTAGAAGGCACAGTTGTTCTCATAGCGGCAGTTGCCCTTCATCATGAAATGTCGGCAGACAGGGCGGTTTGACATGTCTGTGGGAACAAAAGCCGAACAGTTAGGAAATGGCTGCGGTCAATGCCAACACCCTCACCACCCCAGTCCATGGCATCCTGAGAAGTGTCTTTCAGAGACACACAGTCTTGTGGATTTGGGGGAAGGGCAGAGAGTAGGAACTGCTATGCATGCTAGGACACCAAGGAAATAAAGGGGACCTCACATTCTGCCTAGCTACCAACAGTGGTGACTCTCCCCACCACTCCCCAAAATCTTGTACGGGACACCAAAAGGTATACGGAAGCAGGGAGCATCCTCACCTCCTCCATGGCTGTGGCCTCCATCGTGCCCTCGGTGGCCCCCTCCCCCGTGGCCAGGGCCATCATGGCCACGGTGCTCATGAGGAGGCGGCCCTCGATGGTCATGGCCTCGGTGACCAGGGACATCATGAGGCCGGTGGCCATGGGGGCCACCGTGTCCAGGGCCTTCATGAGGGCGATGTCCACCACCGGCACCCATTCCTCCGCCAGGGCCTTCGTGGGGACGATGGCCACTGCCACCACTGATGCCACCGCCAGGGCCTTCATGGGGACGATGTCCTCCACCCCCGCCCATGCTACCACCAGGGCCTTCATGGGGGCGATGCCCACTGCCCATGCCACCGCCAGGGCCTTCGTGGGGACGATGTCCACTGCTGTTGCCCATGCCACCGCCAGGACCTTCATGGGGACGATGCCCACCACCTCCAACCATGCCCCCACCAGGCCCCCCTCGTCCATTTGGGGGACCTCCTCCAGAGCGACCTCCTCTGGCACCTCGAAATGGAGGAGGAGGAGGGGGAGGAGGTTCGTTTCCCCCTCGGCCACCTCGGCCTCTATGGTATGGTCCAGGACCTGGTCCTGGACCCCCCCGCATTGGGCCACCCCTCATGGGGTCACCTGGGCCATCCCAGAAGGGATCACCACCCCGGGGAGGGGGTGGAGGACCCAGGAGACGTGGACCCACTGGCCCACCAGGGCCTCCATGGGGACCTGTATGGGAGAAAAGAGAGAGCATCAGCTATCTATTACACTCAGGAATTGCCATCTCCCAACAGAAACCACCACCTCCCGCCTTCCAGGCAATCCCATACTATTATCACATTGAAATTGGGCCGATTAGCCCATTCCAACCTCTTACTCACCACCTACCTGGCATAGGTCCCCCAGGTCCAGGGGGAAAGTGCTGCATGCCCTTGGGGCCCCCAGGACCCCCTGGTGGGAAACCATTGGCTATTGGGCCAGGGCCTAACAGTCCATGTGGCACTGTTAATGAAAACAAGAGTAACACAGTCAGTATGAGCACTCTTAGAAGACTGACATGATCTCCCGTTTAGATGTGCCCAACTGACCCTCTCAGACCACCCTGGCAGAGCAGTGCTCTCTCTGTCCAGTCTTCCCCTACCATTTCTTGTCTAGTGGCAACAGCCCTATACTCTTTCACATCTGTGAAACTCTGCCTCCCCGAACTCCACTGAAGGCTTCCTCCCCCAGGCCTCTGGGGTTGGCCCTGAAGATTACCCAGCATCTGCTTGATCTTGTCTGAATAGTCTGGCTGTTTCAGTAGTTCCTCTGAAGGATGACTGTTTGGGCTACCCTGTGAGAATATAAGAAGGCAAAGTCAACAGACAGAAAGGGTAACAACCATCGCGAAAGGGAGAGTCAAACATTAGGGGTAAGTGGGTAGATGTGGAGAACCGAGCTAAGGTGAATGGCAGACAGAGTGAGGACAGTGTGCTTAAGGAGGCTCCACAGAGGTGGCGAAGGGAAGAGGGTGCATACCATGATGGAGGTAAGGATCTCCTGCACATTAATGCCTCCTCCTCCAGGGCCTTGGGGGCCCTTTCCAGCACCCATGCTTCCCATAAGATTGGCGAGAACTGGAGGCAACTTGGAGCCTCCTGCCCCATCAGGTGAGCCACCTGACCCCCCAGGTTCCAGGGTCTCAACATATGAAGTCTCATCCATGGAACACTCCTGAAAGAAGAAGGAAAAAATATCAGGCCTAACTGAAAGAATGGAGAAACTTTCTCATGAAAGATGCACCAAATCAATGATCATCACAACCTCTATCATCACATAATATTGATTTACTCACCTCATCTAGGGGGATTAGTTTAGGGGGTATAGGCTCATAGGGCTCAGGATCAGGTTCATGAGGACTATCAGGAACGGCACATGTGATGGAAAAAAGAATGACAGTCAAGTTATTAATTCAGGCCCTGAAAGTTATTTCTAACCTCCACCCATGCTTAATCACCCCAAGTCATGTTCCCCTCAGGAGTGTCCAAGCACTCAACATCCCAGAGCACGAATCCCACTCTGCTCACCTCTCCTTGTTCAGGAAGAGCTCCTGAAGGATTCCCTTCTCCCGCTCAGCCTGGATATATCGCTCCTGACTATTGCTTCCAGGGGTGACAAGAGGTGATGGCAGAACCAGGGGCCGGGGGCACACCCAGGGCACCTTCTCCTCCATGTTGTCATGGCTCAGACGCCGAGCTGTCTCAAATGCATGTCGGTCTGACAGTATCTCTCGCTTAGCTGCCTCGCCAAAGTCCTTGATCTTATTCACATTTACTATTGGCAAGGGAAGAAAAGGAAGAGGGAAAGTAAGCACAACCAAGTCCTTTTAAAATCCCCTGTCGGGCATGGTGGCTCACGCCTGTAATCCTAGCACTTTGGGAGGCCGAGTTGGGTGGATCATCTGAGGTCAGGAGTTCAAAACCAGCCTGGCCATCATGGTGAAACCCCATCTTTAAAAAATAAAAATAAATAATAAATAATAAATAAAATTCCCTATAGACACCTATTACATAGGAAATGACCTCTTACCTCGTTCAGTTTCATCCAATTCAAAATAGAAGTATTCCCTCAGTTTGCCCTCCTCAGGCCATGTCACAGTTTTCCTTTTCCTGCCTTTCCGGGTCAGCTGGTTAGGATCTCCAGGACTCTCCACTGGCTTGGCATCCAGAGCTCCAGGCTCCAAAGAGGCTGTGCACAGAAGAGGTTTCAGACCCCGATCTCTCCTTTCCGAAACCTCCCCACCACAAACTGAATCAGTTTCTAAATTACCTGTATCCATGAGCTCCGGGACTTCAACAGGGGGAACTGGGGTGCCTGGACGGTCTGTGTCCATTGCCTCAGAAGGTGGTGCTGGTTCTGGGGAAGAAGGTTTGGCTGTGCTTGGTTCTGTGCTCGTTTTCCCTTCAAAGGGGCTTGGCTATTATGAAAGAAAAGGACGTTAATAAACTGACTGGAAAGCCAAGGGCAAGGCAGTTAGACCAGCGTCCCAGGCACAATCCCCCAACAGTTCCTGTATAAAGGAAGACTCTGTCTCCAATATGGTCTCACCTGCACCAGTCTATATCCAAGCCAAAATGCCTGTTTTTCTCCTCCCTGACAACTCCTGGCTGCTGTGCCCTTTCTTCTACTTTACCTTTTATACTGTCATTGAAACCTACTTCTTGGAGCCCATACCTTGGCAGCTGTAGGTGACAGCACTTTTTTCTTCTTCTTAATTTTGATGCCTGGAACAGGGGCTGAATTGAGAGCATCCAGAAAGCCGAGGCCCTCCATAGCTACAAAAGGAAAAAGCAACAAATAGGATCATCAAGCCTCCTTAATAAGCCTACACCTGCAAACACAGTCCAGGCATAAAATGGGCCAGTGAAGACTGTGCCTCAACTTAGGATACGATAAGCTCAAGAGGACCAGGAAGCACATGCAGGATTCACACAGGACATTCTTGCTGTTATTCTAGGTTTCTCTTGGCAGACAAGCCATAGCTTGGGATGTGAATTAGAGCTCAGGTAACTGATGAAATGAACACGACACATCACCAGGTGCCCCTGGCCAGTCACAGAATGGCACATCCACCCATCTTATCTCTAAAATAACTCCTAAGTGACCCCTGAAACAGGAGCTCCAGGGGTACAAAAAGTAAGGGATACCAAGAAATCAAAGGAAAATGGAGGGAAATAATAAGAGAAGGAAAAAAAAATTCTCATTTCTGGGGACATTTGTTCCCATGATAAAAGTTTGCTAATTCAAAGTACATCTCCCCACTTCAGACTCACGCTGTGGTGGGATGATCTTCACTTTGATCTCTTTGGTGGCATTAGGTGTTGTGTTGAGTGGCTTGTATTTCTTCTCTGCAGGGGGGACAGCATCTCCTGGGGCAGCTGTGTTGCTGTCAAAAGAGGAACTGTCATCAACATCTGACTCACCCACCTCTTGCTCCCTTGTGTCCACAGAACCACCCCATTCAGAACCTGAGAACATGAGCCACACCTCTGACGTTTGAGGGGGATGGGTTTAAGGTTGTACTTGTCAGAAACCACCACTGTGCTGGCGTTCTTCTTCACAGGCACCAAGGACGGTGTCTCCAGCTCTAGTCCTGGGGAAAGAAGCATGGTGTGGAAAGTTGAACTCAAACCCCCAAGCCGCTGAATTTTCCTCCCTGTTCTCACCCACAAATGTTCTTCTAGTCTTGTAACCAAAGCTTCTTACGCTAATCTTCCCTCTTCCTTACGATTAACATATCACACATCAAATGATTCTCCCATAAGGCTCTGGGAGTGCACATGCCCATGAACGTTCCTGAGACCAGCTGCCAGTCTTACCAGTGGAACGGAACTTGGCATGACTGGGTGCTGTGGTTCGAAGAGACTTGGGCTTCTCCCTCTTCTTCTCTGGGGCCTCCTCGGCCCGGGTCTCAGCCTTCACCTCAGTCAAAGGTCGCTCAGGAGGGGTAGTTCGACTTTTTCCCTCATCTTTACGTTTCTTCTTATCTTTCTCTGTTGTGCAAAAACAAAGCAGAAAAGGATTTTATGTAGATAAACACTGTCAGAGGTGAAGCAGATTAGAAGCACCTAAAGGCCACATCCCAATAAGAAACAAATAAATATAAAGGATAAAGGACTAAGGAGCTCACCAGTGGGCTGGGTACTGCTCTGAGAGCGGATGACAGCCATCCAGTCGCTGACAAGGACTGAGGCCAGTTTCCGGAGCTCTGCAGGTGAGAGAAAGGGGAAATGCCTAAATAATGTAAAATATCATTCTTCTAGGAACAGAAGATAGGAAGTTTGAGAAAATACTGTGAAAATCTGTGCAATGGAGAAAGTAACCCAATGTTTTAAAAACATGAGACACGCTTAAAAACCAAGCTCTTAAAAAATGGAACAATGAATTAGAATTGTGCTCTACTCAAGATAACTTTCAACTCTGATGCTATCACACCACTATGGAGTAAAAAGACTTAATATTTATTTAAGAATATGTGGTTAAAATCTACATTAGTAAAAGACGACACACCAAGTTCAGTGTACACTGCTCGGGTGCCCCCGGCCCCTGGATCTGCCATCACCTCTTGTACCAAAATCTCAGAAATCACCATTAAAGAACTTACATATGTAACCAAAATCCACCAGTTCCTTAAAAACTTTTTTAAAATTTAGAAAACTTTAAAATTTTTTAAAAAAGCTCCACTAGTTGCTTTACATATAACACACCTAATTGTTATACATGAAAAAAATACTTTGTAGCTCTTTCCTTTTGTACTTGGCAATAACATCTTTGATATATGGTACCTCTCTTCTGGCCAACATTTCCATCTATAGACTCATTTCATAATTTATCTTTTAGTAGTAAGATTTTCATAGAACATTAAAACTTAACTTTTCAAAACAGTCACGCAATTGGCAATTTCTATACCTAAGCCAACATGAACAAACCTCAATGCAGGAATATCCTAAAACCTTTTTGGAGCAACTGATACTATGATCCAGTGAGACTTAACTACAGTCGATAGGGAATATACAAATTTCAATGAATGACGTTAATTAAATCCATATTCAGAGAGGGCAGCACAATTAAGCCAGTTGGAAATAGATTACTGCTCACTTGGTGGGAAACCAGTATCTTGTGCTCCTGGCTCATGCCCTGGGTAGAGATAAAGGAAACTCTTAATTTCTAAAGGAGACAGGTTTTGTCTTCAAGCCAGAACTATATGGTCCTTGCCAGAAGCTCCACAACCCTTTCAGAAAAGAAAAGAATCAGAGCTTTGATACACTCCGAAGAGTCAAGAGATTTTGCCCATGTCCTACAAGAATATGTTTAATGGTAGAACTAGAACTAATAAATTTATTGTTAGGAAAACATACTGAAGGTCCCAGAATATTATAGTTAGAAAAACAGTTCAACTGGAGGCTTTTTAAGGGGGAAAAAAAAGAAAATAAGAAAAGCAGAAGTAAATAACGACGAGATACTCTAGGATAATACTATCTCCTACGGTGAGTTTTAAGTGTATGTGTTTTATATCAAGCAATCTTGGCAATCAGCTTCCGGTTAAAGCATGGCACCTTATCTTATATTCAACAACAAAATAATGAACAACTTCCACTTGGAATTAAGAACAGGAAAGAGGGTACAGGTTAGAGGAACTTTGTCTTTAAAAGAAGGAAAAAATCAAGGTGAAATACAAAAAGGAAAGAAGTGAAGGGACAATCTAAGGATGGGAAGAGATATGAAGGTAATTGAGTGGAAGTAATAAAGAAAAGCCCATGAGAGGAAGGACTGGCACCCTACCTTCGTCCTCACTTGACTTGCTCAGTTGTTTCACCAGTTTAGCTGTGTTGTTCTATGAGAGATGGGAGCAGTAGAAACGTAAATGCCAGGAGAGAAGTACATCTACTTAGAGCTAACAACCACACAAGTTACAATCCCTTTTTTTTTTATATGGAGCCTCGCTCTGTTGCCCAGTCTGGAGTGAAGTGGTGCAATCTCAGCTCACTGCAACCTCCGCCTCCTGAGTTCAAGCGATTCTCCTGCCTCGGCTTTCAAGTAGCTGGGACTACAGGCGTGTGCCACCATGCCCAGCTAATTTTTTGTATTTTTAGTAGAGACGGTGTTTCACCGTGTTAGCCAGGATAGTCTCGATTTCCTGATCTCGTGATCCGCCCGCCTTGGCCTCCCAAAGTGTTGGGATTACAGGTATGAGCCACCATGCCTGGTCGACACACACGTATT